ATTATTTCTGCTTTTATATATGACTTAGTATAAATCTGGGAAGTCTCCCTTTCTAAAGGGAGTGCTGCCAAAATTTTTACTAACTTAGAGAGTTGGACATAATTTGGCTTTCCAGAGTTAGAAATTATTTATGCGTTCATATTCGAGCTTATATGAATTCTAGAAAGACACMWTTCCTACGGGAAGCGCTGACGAAATTTTCTTGGTTTAGAGGAGATAAACTGTATTTTGACAGGTGGCAATTCAGGCGACCCGCCCAGAATAGAGGAGATTTCGTAGTTGGTCTACCTTTAGCTTAAGCACTGGCTTAAAAGTAGACTTAAGTTYAGCTTATAGGGAGATTTTGAGTGAGGATGTATTATGGAGTTGTATTCTCCATACACTTATGATCTTAGCTTGGGGATTGGTCTGTCGTGTGTTACAAGTCCTTTTGATCATTTGATCCAAGTTCGAGACTAGATCCAGCTTGATCCCTTGAGGATCACTTTCTGTTATCACTTATAACAGGTCGATTGTCGATTCGTCGGTCTACGACTCAATTTCAACTCTCCCTCCACACTCAACCTAAAAGGCGTTCGCCCTGGTGATTTCGTTATTTTATTAAGGTTTCACCCGGACTTTTATTGAATGGCCATTTAACAAAGGTACTGAGTATTTAATTAAGGTTGGTTGGACAGGAGGTTTGGGGTTGGCATGGCTAAAGCGAGGGGTAGGAGTGTCGAAGGTGGTTGGGGTTGACTCCGTGTAGTGTGTGGGCTGTTGATTTGGTTTGTTGATGTAATGGCAGGTATGTGCTGTGAATCAGATTCTGGATTTGGTTGTCTACGATCACACATATATGTATGATTGTGAGAGACCCCAGTGAGACCGTGAGAAGTAATCGTCACATACTTAACCCTTATATATGTATACATGGGTATACTTGGGATGAATGTTTGCATAGGGTTGAAGAGTCCTCATACTAAAATCCTACTCAGAAGCTGAGGCTGAGGGGCGTAGGGGAGACCTCCCCTTCTATTTTTGTTTTTGTTTTTTGATGATTTTTCTTAGTCGGACGTTTGGTCCTGGACTGGGATTCGAGGTCCTTGTCCAGAACAGCCCAAACCCTAGGTTCTGCAGGGGAGGGGTTTTCCCTCGCGCAAAGCCTATTTCATTTCCCTACCGAGACACTCAGGCCGAGAGCCAGAGGTGCCGCGGCGGCTGCACGGCTATTCCTTCAGTCGTGCAATGTCGTGAAGGGTGAGGCCCTCACGGCACTTCGAGTCTGACACTTGAGTGTCATAAGCGGTACCCGGATCCACGAGGAACCGCTTGATTATGGGCACTACATAGTACGCCAGCATTGCGACTGCTTGCGTACGTTTGCATTGCGAGTCGATATGAGTAGGCCTTGCGTCCGCGCGGTTTTATCCTAAGTCTCACGCGCGACGCCTATTCGATTTCGCGTCGGAAAGTTATGGGACGGCTACCGAGGGGCTAGGAGCATTGTCGCGTTGTTTGTGTCGTGTCGTTTGGTACGTGTGCGTGTGCATGTTTTATGTTTTTGTGTTCGTAAAGTGGTGTGCGCGTGGTGTGTGGGATGCGTCCTAGTCGACCGACGACGGGCCGCGCTTGGGACTTCACCCCCCCAAGATGTCGGTTCGCGTACGAGTCCGGCATAGGCGTATTACTGCGCGTACCCCCTATGCTACAACGAACGAGAAACGCCCTCGGCCGGTCCACCTCTGCGATTGCAACTGATTAGCTTTCATACTGTGGACTGGTCGGTTGGTGGGGATACGCCCACCGAAGGGAGGTGACAGCTCCCGTAAGATGTAGGTAAGTCATGCCTCGCGTAGGCCCTATCCTGTCTTAGGGGCTCGCGAGAGGTATGGCTGGCGCACTCGGCCGGAGCGGCTTAAGGAAACTCCATATGTATTATCTGCGACGAAGGATTTAATTCAACTCCTGCGTGACGCGGCCGGGAGGGTCCCGCGCTGCCCTGGTGCGGTGTCGGGCCGATGCGCTCGACAGGTGGCGCCGTTGCCGGGGATAACGGAAAGCCTACCGTTGTCCCTGGTGGAACGACATCCGGGTATGAGAAGTGAATGGGAAAAGGCATAAAGGAAGGACGAGAAAGTGAGGAGAGATAATGAATGATTAAGTATAGGTGAGGAAATTTACCTACCTAAGTAAGGAAAGGATGAAGGGCGGACGTATAGCATTGGGAAAAGGTACGTAGTAAGAGTTAGGTAGGACGGATGAAATAGACCAGTTAAGGTGTAATGCTGAATAAGAGGATGTGTTTGTTTTTCTTTTGTCAGGGAGCTTGAAGAGAAAGGTCTGGCAAGATGTCGCAGGGCGGCGGCGCATCGGGTGCCCCCAAGAAGGGTCTGACACTCGATGACCTCATAGCGGCTATTGACAGACATGAAAGGAACCCGAGTAATATCCCTAGAGTCGATACCTTCCACTTTTGTGGGGAAAGAGTCTCGGAATGGCCGGAACGAGTGGAACAAGCTTTGGTCGGGCGGTCGGACGTGGTAAAGTTCCAACGCATTCTTCAGTATGTCCTCCACAACTACCACCAGGAAGTGAAGAAAGTCATAGATGCGGCCCAAGGTAGCTGGGAGAGGTTCAAGGAGGGGATGCAAAGGAAATACCGCCTGGCAAACGGGTTATTGACTACCGCGGACCTTGCGGCGATGAACTAAGAGGATTTTACGACGATAGGGGCCTTTGTTCAAGAATTTCAGAAGAAGGCGCGGAAGGTCCATGGGATTTCGGAGGAAGCACAATGCGCCATCTTCCTGGGCTACTCACGGCATCGGAGGCCGTCGAGTTGACGAGGCATGAGGGAGGTAGCACCAAACTCACATGGGCCACTATTGACAGAGGGGTGGAAGTTGGGTGTTTGGACCTGGTGGAGCAACGTCAGGTATGCCTACAAAGGCAGAAAAGAAAGGAAAGAGATGCAACCGCTTCTGGGACCCCGGGAGTAACAAGGATTGTTACAGACGTATTGGCACAACTAGGGTATGCGACAGAGCCGGTGGTGCAAAGGAGGGTAGTGACAGTTGTCCGAGTAAAAGGAAAGGAGCCGGTGATAGAGGAGGCTATTCAAGAAGAACTCTGGGAAGAGGAAGAGCCGGTGCCGCATCACCTGACAAAGGCCCAACGCAAAGTGCGTAACTTGGCGTAGGGCGATTAGGGATTAGGAAAAGCGCAGGAGCCCCAGGCTTTGACAACAACCCCTTCAAATGTAGCGGCTCCGTCATCTAGTACGGGCCCCTCGCAAGGAGGGGCGCCGTCCTACGGACAGTGACCTTGGCTGGTGATCAATGCAATCGTACCATGGGGTAGCCCGCCACCAGTAGCCGGACCGCAAACGAGTATACCGCCACCCATCCACCCCGCAGCCCAGGCCCAGCCTGTGGCACGCCACCGTCACCCGCCGCTAGTTCACAGGGAAGCGTGGCTGGAGGTGGGAACCAGGGGCAGGGCAATCAAGGCAACGGAGGGAGGGGTGGAGGAAGGGGGCGAGGCAGGAATGGCGAGAAGAACCAGGCAGAGGAAGGCAATGGAATGGTCAAGGCCAGAAATACCAAGGCCAAGGGAATCAAGGCCAGGGGTACCAAGGCCAGGGGTACCAAGGCCAAGGGAATCAAGGCCAGGGATACCAAGGCCAAGGGTACCAAGGCCAAGGGTATCAAGGCCAGGGGGATCAGGGAAGTCAGGGGTATGGAAGACCCCGTTTTGACTGGAGGACGACCATCTGCCAACATTGTGACCAACAAGGCCACACTATAAGGTTCTGTAATATAAGACGGGAAAACGAGAGGAGTGAGCTGATTTCCTCCACTATGGATGGGAACATCTACAATCAGTTTGGGGAGGTCATTGACAGAAGGCTTGGAGGAGTGAGGGCGGAAGCCCAACGAAGGGCGGCAGCTGGGCCGCCACCCCCTGCCATGTTCAGGCTATGGCAGGAGAAGAAAGGACCGTCGGTGGGGATAGAGGAATTCAGGTTATGGCAGGAAAAGGAAGAACCACCGATTGGGGTAGAGGAAGTGGGAAGCAATGAGGAAGTGACTCAAGGGCCACGAGGAGGAAGTAAGGGGGAAGAGCCCATTAAGGGGGAAGAGCCCATTATCATTGAGTCAGATGACGAAAATGAGGAAGAAAGGATGGAACCTCCATCCGTCTTGTTGGGGAAAGTGGAGGACCTGCTGGATAAGATGGGGAGGTACCAACAGAAGTTGGTGGGCATCTGTGAGGAAGTGAGGAAATGGAAGTCTAGCATCCCCAAGGTGTTCCTCCACGACTCCGGTCCGGAGTCAGCGCCCGGGCGACCCGGAGTAAATGTGGTGGGATCGCGCCCACCATCAGGGATGATGGGGAGACCCCTCACTCCGCAGGCCCGGCTGGTGCAGGCAGCACGAATGAGAAATCAAGCCAGAGCTAGCGCCAGCCAAGAACCTCCGAGGAGGTCCGAGGAGGGAGCAGGAGCCAGGAAAAAGAAAGGAGACTGTGGAAGTGGAGGATGACGACAATGAGGAGGAAGAGGATGAAAGGTTGCGCAGGGAGGAGGATCAGAGAGCGGAGCAGCGGGCAAGGAAAAAGAGAGGCAGGGGAGAAGCCGAGCCAGTCATACACGACGGACCGCCCAAAAGGAAGAAGTATGCGGTTCGATTGGAGGAAGGGTTTGACGTGGAGAAAGTGATCGATCGGCTGCTAGAAGGGCACAATGACCTCATGACTCTGAAGGAAATCCTAGCGTCAGCCCCGCGACTCCGCGATGAACTGAAGGGGAGGTTGTCGCGGCGCTTGGTGCCCAATGTCCATCTGAGCACGATTCTGCCCAAGGAGGCACAGTGGGCAGAGTCAGGCACAAAGATGAATTGGAAGTGCGTGGCCTGCGGCACAGTGAATTTAGTGGTAAAAGGCTCCAAGTGTGCAGCTATGGTGGACACCGGGGCGGAGATGAACATTATTCGGGAGGCGGACGCGATCAGATTCGGGCTGGATATAGACCGTTCTGACTGCGGTATTCTGCACGGAGCCAGCTGCACGGCCGTATTTTGTGAGATAGCCTCGAATGTACTCATCGAGGTTGGAAAGGTGAAGGCACGAAATTGCTTCTTCATCATGCCGGAAGTGGATCACGGAATCCTCCTAGGGAGGTCATCCCTAAGCAGGACGGAGACCGTGATATTTAATAAGCATGACGGGACGTTAATCCTTCTCTTATGCGACCCTGCCTGCGGGAATTACGAAGTAATTACCTGCAGAAACACAGGGCCAAGGAGCATAAGGAACCGGCCCAATCCAGGATCGTTCACGATCGAAGAGTCGGAAGGTGAGCGCCGGAGGCTCCGGGCAGAGCCCGAAGCCGGAGAGAGGGTGGAAGCATTTTCTCTCAGCCTATAAGATGTTGGGAAGACCATGGACTTGGTGGCCGCGCATGAGATGGCAGATCCGGATGCCATCCAGGCTCTGAGGGAGCAGGTTCTGGAATGCCCCGAGGCAGGAAGGTTGGAGCAGGTATATCGGCTCCCGGGCAGCGGAAGAAACCCCGCATCAGCGCAAGCACAATCTGTGAGTCGGCTTTTTTTAGGGGACGGCTCAAGCAGGGTTCCCAAAGGCGGTACAAAATGGTAGACAAGAAGTGCCGCCCGGTTCCCGTCCTCGTTACAGAAGATGAGAAAGCATACTACGAGAGAGAACGAGGGTTGATACGGCGAATGAGAGAGAGTGCTCTAGCAGGGCCATGTCGTATCAATGAAGGGAACGAGGGGGAGTTGATTATAGAGGAACCCGACTTTCTACTACCTCAGGAGCGAATGATGATGGTGGAGTTGATGAAGAGGAGACATCGCGCCTATGCGTTTAGTGACGAGGAGCGTGGCAGGCTGGATGTGGACAAGATACCTATGATCCGCATCCATACCGTGCCACATGAGCCTTGGAATATGAGAGGGGCGCGATATCCCAATCCTGACGAGGAAAGGAAGGTGGTGGATTACCTCGACGGTAAAATACGTACGCACGTCGCCGATTATTCGAGTGGACCGTATGCGTCCCCGTGGTTCTGCTTTATCAAGCCTAACGGGACGTTGCGGTGGGTGCAAGATTTGCAAAGACTAAATGCGGTGACCGTGCGGGATGCTGGAAGGTTGCCCAATGCAGACGCGTTGTCAGAATCCTGTGCTGGAAGGCCTATAATCTCACTTATAGACCTTTACTCAGGATATGATCAGTTCCCCGTCTACCTGCCGGACAGGCCTGTGACGACTATGCACACGCCGCGAGGGCTAATCCACATGAACGTGGCCCCGCAAGGGTGGACCGATGCGGTAACAATGTTCCAACGAGCCATGATTCGGGCTATGTAGTCAGTCAGCCCCCATATCACACAGCCATACATCGATGATTTGGCGGTGAAGGGGCCGGCAGTGAAGGAAAGCGACGAAATCTCGCCAGGGGTGAGGCGCTTTGTCTGGAAGCATATTCAGGACCTCGAAAAGGTCCTGAGCCTGCTCGAGGAGCATAACCTCATGGCAAGCGGGGCCAAATCCAGACACTGCATGAGGGAAGCGACTATCTTGGGGTTCGTCTGCAGCGAGAAGGGCCGAAGGCCGGATGTGAAGAAGACGGACAACATTACTGAGTGGCCAGTTTCATTCCACTCAATAACTGATGTCAAGAGCTTCCTTGGTACGTGTGGATTTTGGAGGGCCTTCGTCAAGAACTTTGCCGCTAAGACTGAACATCTGAGGAAGTTAGTTCGTCAGGACCAGGAATGGCTATGGGGTGAAGAACAAGAAGAGGTGGTGGCTAGGATGAAGGAGGAATTTCGAGAACGAGGGTTGGTGCTAGGAGCGTCAGATTATGATGCCACGGAAACACGACCCTTCATTGTTGAAACAGATGCGGGGCCGACTGCCTTAGGGGGAGTTCTAATTCAGGCGGACATAGAGGGAAAGGAAAGACCCCTGCGATTTGAGAGTCGGACCCTTTGTACGACCGAGAGGAACTACTCTCAGTTCAAGAGGGAGACCCTTGCTGTCCTCCATTGTCTGCGAATCTTCCGGAACTACATCTTCGGCGGGAGGTTTATTTTGAGAGTGGATCCGACCGCCCTGGCCTACTCTCTAAGGAATTACGTTCCATCAGATCCGACGGTTGCCAGATGACTGACGTACATCAAGATGTTCAATTTCGAATTGGAACGGATTCCTGACAGTAAAAACTGGGCGGATGGGCTGAGTCGGATCAACTGGGATAAACAGGAAGGGGAGGCGGTGGAGAATACGCCCCCAGTTGACGGATTTCTGGATCAGGAAGAAGATGTTCGTCTCCACATCAACAAGTGGTCGCCGCGAGTGCCCAGCTATGTAGGTTATCCTATCTGGCAAGCGCCGAATGGGTATGAAAGGAGGGTCGAGCTAGTCCTCAAACCCTTTGAAGAAGAGGATCCATGGGGTGGTAAGGGTGTTCAGTGGATGATCGAGTTAGCGCTGGCCAGCTCGCATAGCCTGGTGGAGGACGTGAGGACGATTGAGGAAGGACCTGGCCAGGTAGAACGGCATGAGGACCTGATAGGAGGAATGTATCTCCTCGTCAACACGCTATTGCAGGAAAGCCTCGGCCAGTCAGGCTCATTGAACCCGGCAGGGAATGCGGACGAAGTGCCCGAGAACCAGGACGACGAGTTCGAGGAGGGGGAGATTAAAGAGGCTTTTCGTGCAGAGGAGTACGACGGGATCTACCTAGAGCTGGGGCTTCTTCTGTCATGTGAAATGCGGCTTAGGGATGCAAGCGATAGAGCTCAGAGGATGCTGCAACGCTATTTAGTGCGAGACGACCACCTTTTCGTGAGAAGAGAAGTGGGGAATCCCAGGAGAGTCGTCTGCGGTAGGAATCGTCAGATCGACGTCGTAACAGCGCTTCATGATGGCATTGCAGGAGGGCATCGAGGGGTACAAGCCATGTATGCCAAGATAAGTGAGTTGTACTACTGGGATGGGATGATGGATATGGTCAGGAAGTTCTGCCAATCTTGCGTACCCTACAAGGAGAGATCCCGTTTAAGGCAAGGAGAGCCGCTACATCCAAGGATAGAGCGAGAGGTGGGGGCTGTAATGCACCTCGATTTACTTTTTATGCCGCTTGGGGATCAAGGCTATAACTATATCTTCGATGCGTGCGATAACCTGTCTGGCTTCGTAGACGGGCGTGTTATTCGCACCAAGACTGGGTTGGTATTAGTGAGCTGCATCGAGGAATATTACCTGCGTTATCCTTTCGTCAGGGAATTCGTAATGGGTAGGGAATCAGAGTTTACCTGCAAGGAGGTGCAAGAACTGTTATCAAGGTATGGTGTAGCAGCCAACTACACCACGGCCGCGCACCCCCAGGCAAATGCTCCCGTGGAGAGAGGACATAGTACCATTATGAGTCTCCTGGCTAAGTGGACCGAAAATAGGCCCAATCAATGGCCAAGGTACCTAAGGGCGACGTTTTTTGTCGAGAACATTACAGTAAAAAGATCCACCAAGTACGCACCTGCGACGCTGTGGTACGGAAGGCACGCCACCTTCCCTATTGAAAGCTTTCTTAAGACATGGAGGCGCCAGGATCTGGAAGTTAACGTGTCATTTGAAGAGTTGCTCGATATCCGGGCGCAGCAGATAGGGGCGATAGAAGAAAGAATCCAGGAGGCGTCTGACCAGGTGGCGAGAAGCCGTATGGATGATAAGGCTCGATGGGATCAGTCTGCGCGGGTGAGGAAAGTACCCTTGGCAGTTGGGGATGTCGTGCTTCTCTACGATTCATCGCTGGAAAAGCAGTGGTCCAGGAAACTCGATAAGAGGTGGTTAGGTCCCTACCGGTTTGTACGGGTCGGAGACTTCGGAGCGTACCAGAATGAAGAGCTAAATGAAACTGAGTGGAAGGATTGGGTATTTGGAACGCGACTGAAGAAATTTGTGGCGAGAGAAGAGGTAAGAGAGATGACCTGACTGCCTTTAGAATAGAAGTAGCAGGGTGTGTAGGTTAGGTAGGATGCATGTTGTATGAGTGTGGTCTGGTCTGAGCTTGCTTTGATTATCACCTGTTTGTTTATCCCAATGTGTGCCTGTTGTCTCCTTCGCCTGTTGTGCAGGTCTGACTTTACGAAGACAGCCATGCCAAGAGGAGGGAAGGGGACACGGCCGCCTCAGAGGCCGTTGGGCGCATCAGGAGGATATGAGCGGCATGGGCCTCGCCATCGAGAGAGTACTCCAGTGTACGACGATGGGGACATCGAGCTATTCCTGGACAACTTTTGGAATCATGCGAGGCGTATGGGCTGGACCGTGGCCCAGGCGACTGAGAGGCTGAGGGGAACAGGCAGGTTCGAGGAGCCCATTACCAGGATTCGTAGGGAGGTGACGACGAGGCAGGAGGTGGAGACGAGGATGCAGGAGCTACGACCTTCGCCTGTGGGACCAGATGGCAGGCCGATCTGCCTAGAGATCGGAAATGCGGCAGATTTTATTCCTGCCTTCGAGTGGTTCATGCAGGGGCAGGGTATACCGAGAGATGAGTGGGCGAGGACGTTACCCCCCGGACCAGAAAGGCGGAGAGGGCACTGGCTACGCAGGTCAGAGATATGGCCCGAGACTGGGAGAGCTGCAGGGCACATCTGAGAGAGGTCTTTCGACGACCAGAGCCCCCTCAGCCCAGAGGCGAGAGGCGTCAGAGGAGTCAGAGGCAGAGGGACCCTGAGCCCAGGGAGGCGAGACCATCTCGAGGAGGACGGAAGGCCCTAGCCAGAAGAGAAGAGGAACCGGAGCCAGAGCAAGAGGCTGAGGAGCGAGGGGCATACCCTGAGTGTGGGTTGGGACCAGTGGAGTTCCATCGGTTTACCAAGGGTGGTTTGAGGAGGTCGCCAGCACGCACGCAGGAGGAGCCGCCAGCATCCGAGGGGCCCTTGAGGGAGTTGGAGACACATTTGGATATCTCCCGGTGGAGGGTGTCGCCTCGGGGTGAGGAGCATGGAGAGGAGGTGCCACAGGAGGAGGTGCCACGAGAGGAGGTGCCACGGGAGGAGATCCGAAATACTCAGCGAGAGAGGGGGCTGGGCGATGAGGGGAGACGTGCAGGGAAGGAAGTGATAGAGGTTGGAGAGGACACACCTCCACAGACGCCAGCGGTGGGTTTGAGACTCGGGGATGCACCAGGGAGCACTCGCCAGGCAGGGGAGAGGTTGCAGAGAGAAAAGGCCCCATTACCTTCATCAGAAAAGGCCCCTTCACCAGAAGGGAGAGCAGAAAGGAGGAGAGAGTGGGCAGCTGTAAGGAAAGAGGCCTTGACCCTAATTGACAGACATCTAGCAGCTTATGCCCTGGAGCACCCAGACCTGGAGGAGCCAGCGCCTGCAGAGCCGCGCTAGGAGCCATGCCAGCCCGAGAAGGAGATGGAAGCAGAGATCCCAAAGAGGGTCGACCTCCGCACGAGGGAAAGAGCGCCAGCTGGAGAGACGGCTGAAGAAAAGAGGGCGAGAAGAACCAGGCGGATAGATGAAATACGGCAAGAGAGGCAGAGGTTGGAGGTAGCGGGGGGGCTTCCGAAGCAGCAATAGGAAAGATAGAGGTCGGAGGCAGCAGGAGCACTCCCACGTCAGCCACCCAGTGCGCCAGCTAGGGCTCCGGAGATTCCAGAGATGTGGAGGGACTTCTGGGAGCGAAGAGGAGAGGAGCTTCCCTTGCCAGTCAGAGCTGGGTTTGGGGTGGCCAGGAAGGCGGAAGAGAGGTTAGATCGCAAAATCAAGTTCCTGGCCAAGACAACTTTTGACTGGCACTTGTGATTGGAGAGCGATCTGGCAGGGAAGAAGATGAAGGAAGCAAGCCATGGAGTATGCCTGGAGGCTATGGAGGTGGAAATTCAGGAACTCAGGGCATTGGTAGCCAGTCAGGCAGATATCACTGAGAGCCTGAGCCAGCAAACCCAGGGAAAGGTGGACAAGCCAGAGAGCAGCAGGCAGGGAGAGCAGAGGCAGCCAGGACGTGGATTACCGGGACAATCATCTGCAGCAGAGCCTCACCAGGAGCCACCTATGGGGAGAGTTATCCTGGAGCCAGAGGAGGCGAGAGCCCAGAGACAGGCGGAGAGAGAGGCGTTCGAGTTCAGAGCCCCTACCGAGCTCGCAACGCTGCCAGTAGCAGCGGCGGGCCCAGTTGTTGAGGAGGGGCTACCACCATCTAGCAGTGAGCCGGCTCCGGGCTCAACAGAAGGATCCATGGGCGTGCTCCTTGAGGCGGTGCATACTATGCAGGAGGAGGTGAGTTTGTTTTCACCTGAGCAGAGGATAGAGGAGCCTCTTGAGAGAGAGATAGGGATTGAGGCAGAGGGTGCCATCGAGAGCGGGCTCCAGAGGATGGGCACGCCTGAGTATGGGCCAGAAGAGATTGAGGAGCAGCCCATAACAGTGCCAGGAGAGACACTCGAGAGGAGACCTCAGAGGTTGGACACGCCTGAGTACGTCCCAGTGACGTGGGATTTGAGGAGCAGCCTGGGATCATGGGCTACTGGATCTGGGTCTGGGGGACTCGTTCCCGGGACAGAGCAGCAGGAGGTCGTTAGTACCGCAGCTCCTCGATCAGAGCAGCAGGGGGTTGTCAGTACCTTGGTAGGATCTCCTTCATCGCCACCCCCTCAGCCCAAGAAGAGAAGTTCAAGAGGAAGATTAATCAGCTATGCTTCTACTGCAAGAGGGGCGTGCATCTGGCTCTGGACTGTCTCGAGTTCCTTGAGGATAAGGCAGCGGGGAAGGTCTCAGAGGTAGGGGGTAAGATGTCTGATAGACAGGGTAGGATAGTAGAGAAGTCCGCAGATGGACTTAGGGCTCAGTTATATAGACAAAACCAGGAGGAGTTGAGGAGGTAGGGCCGGTTTGTCTATGAAAGTGGGCGAGTGTCTTGTGAGACATCAGCTTAGGTTTTGTGTGATACCCTCTTAGACCTAGAGGACTTTGATGATTGCTACTAGTCTAGATCTGAACTCTAGTGTTCCTACTGAGTTGGGGTCTTGAGGATCAGGGTGATTTAGATGAGGCATGTACATATTTAGGTGGCCTACGCGCTGGCATTGAGAAACAGGTCTGACATGTATTCTAGGCGTGGTTGTCAATATGCGTCTGGTGTGGCTTGAGTTGAGTGAGCTATGATTTGGAGACTTTTTCTGTGTGAGACATTTTATTCCCCCGAGTGTATACTATGATGAGTTTTTTTTTCAGGGACCATTCTTATATGTGATGATCACTTGTCTCTCTCACATGTGTGGTTGTGCTCTGATGTATGATGAGTTTGTGTGGACAATGTGTGAAAAACATCTTATGTGTCATGGTACTGTGAGTATGATTGTAAGCAAAATTGTCTACTCCTCGGTATACTTATGCGACCTGCCCACGAGCAGCTGATAAGGCAGAGTATAAGGGGAGGAAGTGCAACCTATCTGTGAAAGGTTGTGAAAATTTTGAAGGTTTATGAGCCCTGGAGGCTCAAAATGCTTACCATGTTGATTATTGATTGCTTAAGTTGTGATGAGGACCCATAAGATGGTCTCTCAGTGATGATTTGTTTTATGATGAGAGCCTCTTGGATTTTTGGAAAAGTGGATGTTTTGTGATGTTGTGTATCATGATGAGACCCCCTCGAGTTTTGAGGAGGGGAAGTTTGGTTTTATGGCGAGACCCCTCGTGATTTTTGGAAGAGGAGTGTATTGTTTTATGGCGAGACCCCTCGTGATTTTTGGAAGAGGGGGTGTTTTGTTTATAATGAGAGCCCCTTGGGTTTTTGGAAAAGGGGAATGGTTTATGGTTGGAAGACTCACCCTCGAAGGTCAGTAAACTGGTTTATAGCATGGTAAGTTGTCTGATGAGTGATAAAGTCTGACGAAGAGGACCACTTTTGCTTGGAATATTTGAGAAAGTCGCAATGAGTGCAGGGCGAGAGACGTCTCAGGACGGGTGGTTGCTGCCTCTGATCAAGTCAGGGGTCACGGCCTGGTGGACCTAGCGGTGATTTTGTTTGTGAGCGTGCGAAGGATGCCATGCCTATTGTGGAAGGGCTGGTAAATGCCTTCGGACCCTGCGTATCGCGCAGTGGGCCTGTGATTTTGTTTTGCGACGCCCCGTCTAACCACCTGTGCTAGTTCAGGGACATATTGAAGAAAGGCTAAACTAACGGAAAAGAAGTTAGTACCTCTGGGGCGTAACCCCATTGGATGGCTGCTAGCCGGCGCAACCTGGCTGCGGGACCGCGGGGTAAGAGTTTGAGGGGGGGTGCCCGCCCAAGTGAAATTGCTCCGCGGGATAATGATGGTTGAGAATTTTGGGGGGAAATCCTGATTGAGTGCTTATCAGGAGGAAACCTATTGTTGCGTAACCAACGAAGGTACTGTCGTTAAATAACAATGCGGTGGGCCGTGGTCCTGGTCCGATCAGCCAGGCTATGGTGGGCCAAGGTGGAGATCTAGTCTTTCTGTACTAGACTGCAAAGAGAGCTGAGCGAATATTAAGTATACATATATACTTACGTGTATTTGATTGCGAGATTTTTTTTTTTAGAAGGAAGGCTAGTGTGTCTTCAAAAGGTCTCAATTAAGGCTCACGTCCCTAGTCTTTGCCAGGACTAGGGACACCCAACAAGAAGCCGAAGGTTGTCTAGGACCGGGGAGAGGACGATTGGGAAGGTCTTTAGAACGTATGCGGTCAGAGTCCTAACTTCTGGGCGGTGAGAGGCCCAGGTTAGAAACCTGGCAGCATATAGTTGTGAAGGCATGGTTTGATGGAGGCCTCTACCCTGTGTTTGTCGGCTAATCGGATTGGCTCGTGTTTCGTCAGCATTTGGGATGTGGATAAATTTATAGCTTTCTGATTTGGCAAAGCGACGGGGACGTCGCTTAATATGGTCCGATAAGCTGTCGGTGCGAACACCCTTACAAGGGTATCCGCCCTGGTTTTTGCAAGTGACAGAAAATAGTTTTGGTCTAGAGTTAAAGTATACTGCGCTAAGCGCGGCTGCGTCTATAATTGCGTGACAGGGTGGTTAACCACAATAGCGAGTGCGTGGGCGCGCAGGTTTAAGGCGCGCGTGATTCTTTTCTGTTGTTGATCGTAAAGCCGACCCGGACCTCATTCGGTTTGCTTGGTGATATTATTATTTATTTATTTTTGATTTATCAGGAATTAAGGATATTTTCTTTTAATTGGTACATTTGACCGAGTCGAGCGCGCGTGCGGAGAACGACCCCGACGACGGCATCGACAATAACGGCGCGATTTCGTGCGGTGAGCAGGATGTCGTAGGATGGCGGGCGGGGCAATTATGGCATAGTATAAGCAAGCCGGCGCAGGCACTGGGAGCCGCGCAGCCGGGTTGTTGGCCCGAAACGGCGCGCCGCACTGCCTTGTATGGTACTTTGCGGACGCGGGTCTCAGGCTTGGGCTTAGCCTTATAGGTTACGGCATTGGGTTGGCGCCATGAAGATTCGAGGATCGAGGCCGGCGGGTGTCGGTGCGGGAGTGGCCAAGAATTGGGGAGGAAGGCGGTGGGGTTGAGGGCCGTCGGACTATTCCCCTCGGTTTTGATAACGGGCGCGGTAGCGGGCCCGGTCTGTGGGATTGGCGAGGTGCCAGCAGCCCCGCGGCCTCCCAAGTCTATCTTTATTTATTTATTAATTTTCTTTATTTTACTTCCCATTTTTTTTCGTTATTATTATCTTGGCGTTTTTATCGCGTCCCGTGCTGGGACGCGAGACTGCAGTGGGGTCACATGGGTGTTGTATCCGTGGTGTTACCTGAAGTGCAACCGCAAGCTGTTTTCGAGGCTGCGCGTTGTGCCGAGGTGCGATGTGTTGTGATTCTGCTGGGTCTAGGCGGTGGGTTGTAGAGGCATTTGTCCTTGGCCCCTTGGGCTTTGCCCGGGCCAGCTTTTGTTGGTGGCGCCGGTGACAACAGGGGAAGTAGGGGAAAGTGAGGACGGTGGAACGAACCTGGTCGGATATCGGTGCAGGATGCATGCGCTACCTGCGGGCAGATAGCACGAAAGGGTGGTGGGCATCGGGGTTGTGAAGGACGGGCATCGGCCGGGTGCCGTAGCACCACCGTTGGGGCAGTGAGAGCTGGCTGGGGAGTCGGGTAGTACTTGTTAGCGGATTCCCGGTCCCTCCCGACTGTCGGGCTGCTGCCAAAGTTATTCGGCACCGGACGGGCGAGCCGCTGCGTCAGACGCTGTCGGGCCGTCAAGTAGAGAGAGCCGGTCACTGTGATAGCGGGCGCTGCGCTAGCATAGCGGACGACAACGCAACGGGGGACGGGCGCTAGAGCGGTGAGGCGAGGTAGAAAGGCGACGGGCAGCAGCGGATGGGAACGGGGAGAAAGAAACGAGGACAGAGGGGAAGGCTGACACGGTGGTGAGAGCAGGTTGAATGAACCTGGATGGGAAGTTGAGCCGGG